TTAGGACTAAAAGTGTCCAGAATATTCTAGCCCTATCCCTATCTTTGCAGGAAAAATAAGATTAAACTGAGGATAATGAATGTCCTAAAAGTCACGTAAAAATTTAATAGTTGTGATATTGTGACATAATAAGAAATATATATGTATATTTGGCCATTGTCCCAGGTTCCTGGCACAGAGTTCCTAAAACCCTTGTCATTTCTTGAGTCATAGGGATTAAAGGAACATCTATTGTTATTCACAATAAGTCTCTTTCAACTATACCTGAGTTTATGCTAATGAGACATCTCTTGGCCAGTAGGGACTGAGGAACCAACCATGTGATTAGGCAGTAAGAACTTTCAGCTCTACCCTCTGACCACTGAAGAGGGGAGACTGAGTTCAAATCATCAATGATTTACTCAATCATGCCTATGTAATGGAATCTCCATGAAAATCCCAAATGAAAGGGTTCAGAGGACTTCTGGCTTGGTGAATACACACACACACACACACACACACACACACACACACACACACACACACACACACGCGCGCGCCAAAAAATGTATACACATTTTAAGTATGAGGTTTGCTTAAAAGATGGCATTAATCAAATGAACGTTAGCATCACTATGTAACAGGCAAGACAGTCAAAGAAAATGGCAGCATCACAGTTGAGCCAACGTCATACTACACATTGCTATGGTAATCTAATTCAACTTCAAAAAGTAATACATAGATAATATATTTTAAAATGTGTATTTTTTTGGCACCCCTTGTATATACAGAGAGTGTCAAAAATATGTATACACATTTTAAGAAAGGAAAAACCTGTGTAAAACGCCTGTAAAAAGTGTAAAACGCCTGTAATCCCGCACTTTGGGAGGCTGAGGTGAATGGATTGCCTGAGCCCACGGGTTCAAGACCCGCCTGGGCAATTTGGTGAGACCTCATCTCTACAATAAATCAAAAAAATTAGCTGGGCGTGGTAGCACGCATCTGTAGTTCCAGCTACTTGGAAGGCTGAGGCAGAGGGATCACCAGAGCCCAGCAGGTCGAGGCTGCGGTAGCCAGGAGTGTACCACTGCACTCCACTCTGGGCGACAGAGTGAGACTCCAACTCAAAAAAAGAAAGTGTAAAACTCAATATATACTGATAACAAAAGATGAATACAAGACATGCTTGACTTTCTGCAATTATAAGAGGTGCTCAAAGTGGTTACCATCAGCATCCAGACACTTCTGATTATGAAACTGCATAAAGTAATACATAGATAACATCTCTTAAAAAATGGGTATACTATTTTTTTAAGCCCCTGGTTATCGTGTCTCTTTAGTCTCCTTTATTCTGAAACAGTTCCTTAGTATTTGGCTTTCATTTTTTAAGAATATGGCCACTCTGTACAAACCTCCTTCTGGATTCATGTGATGTTTCATGATTAGGTTCAGGCTGTGCATTTCTAGGAGGAATCATGTAAGCACGTTCCCTACTCAGGAGACATATGATGTCTATTTGTCCCATTACTGGCATTAACTTTGGTCACTTAAAGTGGTGTCTGCCAGGTTTCTCTATTGAAAATGATCAGTTTTTCTTCGTGTAGTAACTTGCATACTTTGTATAAATATCCTATTTCTCATCAACCTTTCACCTACTGGTTTTAGTATCCATTGATGATTCTTGCCCAAAACAATGAGTATTATGGTAATTGCTAGGTGGTGGTGGTTTCTTTTTCTCCTTCCCTCCCTCCTTTCCTCTCTTCCTCCTTCCTTCCTCTTTCTTTTTTCCATCCTTCCATTTTTTTTTTTAATCGGGGTGTCACTCTGTTACTCAAGCTGGAGTACAGTGCCATGCTCACTGCTGTGCCTTGAACTCTTAGGCTTAGGCGATACTTCTACCTCGGCCTCCCAAGTAGCTGAGACTACAGACCCTTGCCACCATGCCCTGCTATTTTTTTTCTTTTTTAAAGAGGGGGGTTTTGCTGTGCTTCCTATGCTGGTTTTGGACTCCCAGGCTTAAGTAACCCTCCTGCCTCGGCCTCCCAAAGTGTGAGGATTACAAGTGTGAGCCACCATACTCAGTTCATTGGTCTGGGGATATGATTCTAGTTTTGGGGGGTGATTTTCTGAACCAGCATTCCTTTTACATGAATTGTCATTCTATTTTGAGGAAGATGTTTCTCATCTTCCCATTCATTGAGTTGTAGGGTGACTCTCAATAACAACATGTAGTATGCTCGGAATATGGCCCCAAGAAGGGAATTGGGGCCTGGGGCAGGGGTCCTGGGGGTAGCCAACCTGTTATATCTCCCGTTCCCTCAGGTTTCATGCCTGGGCATGCAGGTCATGCTGAGGCCATAACACATTGTTAAAGCAATTGATTTCTGCGTCTGTAACATCTTGTAGCTTTGTGCAGTGAGTGTTCTTGACTTGAGCACCCTTCCTTGAGACAGTCGAATCCCTGTGCTGGGTCAGACCTGAACAGACCCCAGATTCGATGCCCTTAACCTTTGGTTGCCTTTAATTCATTATACTAAAAATCCCTTTCCTGGAGAGAAATCACCACCATTTTGTGTACATGCAAGGTATGAAGCAGCATGTTTTTGTGCTACTCTTAAAGTTAGAAACCCCACTCGTTCAGCTTAACCTACACTGGGCCCTATATGAAATGCTACATAACCTGTGTGCCTGTTACAATTGGGAGGGTTTTTCCTGTCCAGGAAGTTCCCTGTCCCTGACCTTCCCTGTAAGTTCCTAAATAAAGCCCACATTTACTCTGTTGCTTTTGGGTCATTTCTTTGCCTCTCAGACACAGCGTCTTCCCTTTTGGGAGTCCAGCACTACATCATTCACTTACATCTGTGTGGACTCTTGGTTTCTTAATCTATGGGTTATAATTTATTACTATGATAATTTATTTGGTGCTCAAATTGTCCCAGATTGGTCAATGGAATATCCCTCAATCTGTTTCCCCATTATTCTATGAGTGTTTTCTTATTTTCTGGCAGAGCATGATATTTTAGGCTTATCTTGTGCTTTCCCTCCCTTGGCCCAGGAGTCAGCCATTTTTCTAAAAAGTTTGTGTTTTGTTTAAGTAAAGAATTAAGACATCAAGGATTTGAGTACAGAGTGTTGCACACAGTGGTCTTTGGGCTATCACTGTTTCTAGGCTCTCTCAGAAGACAGAACTAGGAAATGTATGTATATATGTGTATGTATTTCTATATATGTATATATGTGTACGTATTTCTAAGTTTATAAATATTTTTATATTTATATTAACCTATATGCATTTTTTTAAACCCCATGAATTCATACTGATGCTTCCAATTGCAATCCCATAGGAAAAAAAAACCCCCAAATTTTAAATTACTATCTTGAAAACTATACCAAACTGTAACACAGGCTTAAAGTTATTCAATTCTTCACGCTATGGAATAGCAGCTAGAAGACGTCCTGGAACCGCGTGGTGCCAGTCATCTACTTACTAACTCAAAAATTTACTGGACACTTCCTATATGCTGGGCACTTGGCTAGGAATGTGAAAATAAACACAATTTTGTCCTATCCTCAAGCAGTTCAGAGGACAGAAAGGAAAAAAACCAGTTACAATACAGTATAATACACTCTTTATTCTAGGTATGCACAGTGTTTTCCCGGCCTGAGGGAACTGGATTATTTCAGAGAAGAAAGTAAAAATAGGCTACTCATACCACTCCATGGAAGAATTCTTCGATTTTTACGTTTGTAAGAAATAAAGAGTATACTTTTCTTCTGAGCAAAAAATACATTTTATGGAGAGCTCTGACTTATCTAGAAGGGCTGCTTTCTGCATTGACTGAATTCATCAAAAATCTGCTCAGTCATAACAACAACTATGCAAATAAATTCCCAGGACCAAAGGCCACGTTTCATTTTTTCTACTAGGCTCCTCCTAATGACCATAAAAGAAAGAGGAAAAATATAAAATACCCAGTTATTTCATGGTAGGTTTTGTTTCCTCTTCTTCATCAATTAAATAAACTGGCTTATTTGTCATTGTATTGATTGTCACCCTCTTGTGTAACAAGAACTGACTTCCACATAGCTAAAGTTAATCTTAAACTAGAGTTTGAGGGAAAGCAAGTGATTTTTGTGTGTATTGAAGTGTATGTCTAGAAGGTAAAGGCTGAGAAAAAAATAATAAAATTCGGAGTAGAAAAGTATTAGGGTGAAAAATGATAATGCTATTTTATTATTTTTGTTGTTTTAATCATAAAACATTCTTATCAAAATTTAGCACCACTTTTAAAACTATTAAAAAAAAACAAAAACAGAAAAAGCATGGCCATTTCCTGCTTCAAGTTGTTCTGGCCAGTTTTCCACTCTAGTCTGGTATTCTAATATTGCTTATTTCACCAACTTAGAAATCCCACTCCAGACGGTCACACAGTAAGACGTGCAGGACCAGAGGCTGATGGTCCTTCATGCAACTTGTCGTCGCTCCTTCACTACAAAATGGCCTTCTAGTATAGCTGACACCCCCGAAGGCAGAACTGGGACTTGGGCGTGTTCTGCTTTTCCTCATTCTGAGAACAGAGTCAAACTTGACTGGTTACCCATTTATTCACTCATTCATTCTTATTGATTTAGTGGCCTTAGATCCTAGAATGTAGAATCCCTATAAAATCATTTTAGCTATGAAATATTCATGGCAAGTCAGACACTTCAAGTGTTAATACGAATAATGAAGGTTTTTTTACACCTACCAGAGTGGTAATTTTAGGTAGCCATAAAGCTGAGGCAAGAGTAGTCTGGGTTCCTAGAAGAAGCCCACACAGCCATCCTTAGCTGCCTCTGGGGGAGAAGCACCTGTGGTCATGGCAGAGGTGGAGCAACTCAAAGGGCTGGTCGGCAGCCTTATGGCAACAGCAGCAGCCCCTGAAGGAAGCACAGGCCCATATCCTGGGCACACAAGGAATGCTGAGGAGGAGGCGCTGTGCAGGAGCTAAACGTCGTTAGTAATGAGCAAAAGCTTCTCTGAAAGTGAGAATTTTAAATTACTTTATTAAACATTACATTCACTGTAAAGGATTTAACCATCATAATCACCATGATACAGTATGTGTGTGTTTATATGTAAAAAATACCCATTTGAACATGGCTTAAGAGGTATAATTGTGCTTTGAAGTCTATGCAGTATGAAATATAATTTGATATAAAAAATCAACTAATCAGAACATGAAAAACACTATGCTTTAATAAGAGCCTATTGCTGATTCTGGAATCACCGTCGCGTGCATGTCCCTAGTCATGTTGGATTTCTCCTTCAGTTTTGACTGTAGCAGCTTATGTTCCACGATACCAATTCTAATATCCATCTGAACGGTTTCTTGCTTCAGTTTTGTTAAGCTCTGTTTAATCTTCACCAAAGGAGCTACAAAATGAAAATAACATGAAATGAAAATGTTCATTTGGAGTATTGGTGTATTACAGAATTGTATGACATTTTTCTTACTTTGTCTTATACCAAAAATAGGGTTAAAAACACAGCCAACAACTTACTGACATTCACACAGTTTTGCTGTGGCATTTCAAGTACCTGAGATTTTTTAGGATGGAAAATGATATAGTATTTGATGTGCTCAGACTAAACTTTCTTCCTTTTCTAGTGGAACAGCTGCCAAACAGGTGTTTAAGGATGTGTTCGAAGATGATTTATGAGCTGGTATATTTGTATTTAGGAAAAAGAGACACCAAAGGGCCAAAGGAGAAGAGAGAATTACCTTTGAGATGTAGATAATGGGCCACTTTAAAACACACTGCAAAAACACCCTATATACATTCCCTTTTGCAAGATCACTCAGTAGACAGCTTAGAACTCTGGAATATCTTTCTAGGGCATAGAGAAGCCTTAGGCAATCACTACTGGCCCATATCAAAGTAACTAGCTCACAATGGAGAATGATTATTGGAAAACTATTAATTCTTCTCTATTTAGCGCCTGCCCAGTCAGATCTACAGGGAGGAGGAAAAAAATTAAAGATCACCATGTTACTATGCTAGTGTCTTTTGGGCATTATACTTCGGTGCATAAAATAGAAAAATGAGGCTCATTTGATGAAAACCGAATACAACCTTTTTTGTTTTTTGAGTTGGAGTCTCACTCTGTCAGCCAGGCTGGAGTGCAGTGGCACGCTCATGGTCACCCCAGTGTTGACCTGCTGGGCTCCGGCGATCCTTCCGCCTCAGCCTTCCAAGTAGACAGAACTACAGGCGCATACTACCATGCCTGGCAAATTTTTTTGATTTATTGTAGAGATGAGATCTTTCCAAGTTGCTCAGGTTGTTCTCAAACCCATGGGCTCAGGCAATTCCTTCACCTTGGCCTCCCAAAGTGCTGGTCTACTGGGTAGCTTGTCACCGGGCCCAGCCAAAACATTATTTTTTAAACTGGCATAACAAAGTACATATTTGATTATTTCTCACTCTATCTTTAAATCAATACTGCTTAATTAAAAAAAAAAACCCTACATTAGAGCTAGGTATGGTGGCTCATGCCTTTAATCCCAGCAACTTAGGAGGCCAAGGTGGGAAGATTGCTTGCACCCAGAAATTCGAAACCAGCCTCCGTCACACAGCAAGACCTCATCTCTACAGAAAAAAAAAAGCAGGCATTGTGGTACATGCCTGTAGTCCCAGCTACTGGGGAGGCTGAGGTGGAAGGATCGCCTGAGGCCAGGAGGTCAAGGTTGTGGTGAGCTGTGAGTGTGTCACTGTACTCCAGCCTGGGCACAAGGTGAGATCCTGACTCAAAACCAACAAACAAACAAGCAACTCTAAATTATAGTAAAAAAAAATTACTACTCTTCTCAGCAGATTTATAAGGAAACCAGTACACTGATGATCATTTTTGCACCATGTATTCTCTTCAAACAAGTAACAAATAATTCATTTAAGAAAGTAGAATCCCTATTAATAGCCTGATTTTGTGAAGTAGGTAATTAAGCAGTGTTGAAGAGCTATTTTTCCCTTGCTTACTTTTCCCATTAAAATGTATGTGTACTCACCACCATCGGTCATGCTGCTGCCCTTTTCTTCCATTTCTTGCTTTACCTTTTCTAATTCTTCTGTAACCTTCCATTGAAAGAAAAGCTTTCATGAGCACTGAACTTTAACAACTTTTCAAAATTTTTTAATAATATTGAGAAAATTTAATTTAGATATTAGACATGTATAAAGGGATATAAAAATATTAGAAATATTCTGGAATAATTCAAATAATAAGATAAAGTAAGCTGATATATAATACTTTTCATCTTCTCAGAATTCCCCTAATGTTAAACTTCAGCAAATGACTTTCACATTTACTTTCTCACGTAGCAACATAATAGAATAAAAGCAATCACAGTTGTTTTAGTCACTAGGCACTCAAACCGTGCAACTATCTCATAGCACCTACCATGCTATTTTCTAACAATCAGTTATTAATTAAAATAGTATAAACATCCTAAAGAAATGTTTGATTTCTAAAGGTACTCTAGATATCTTTCTGAATATTATGGTTTTATAAGAGACTATGTCACCTTTTCCTCTATAAGACACTGAAAATAATATTTATAGCATATGGCTACATATAAAAATGTTCTTATTGCTTTAATCAAATCATGAACTCCAAACTTCATGAGGCACACTGTGCTGTCACACTGGTTCATATCTGCTCACTACTAGTTGAGATTACTCTACTACAGCCTCTATTGTTAGCAAAATTCCAAATAAGTATTAATATAAGTGGAAAATACTATCTTTAAAAAATTGAAAATTTGTTATATGATCTAGAACTAAACTATAATTATTGTAACTTAGTAGGCTTTATTTTTATCATACTGGTGAGTAAAACCTTCCCTGGGAATAAAGTGCTCATCCAAGTAGAGCAAATTAATTTTTTTCAGGCACCTGAAACGTTGCAACTGGGGATAACTATCTACTCCAAAAGAACGAAATGGCTCCCTGGACTCCCTTCAAGTGTTAATTTACCTAACATAAGTGAGCACTTTCCTTTTACATACCATTTTATTTGCCCAGAAGCACCACACAGGATTAGAGTCTAAATATTTCTAAAGTTTTATTTTTAGTATTTCAAAATAACTATATATTCCTCAAGTAATCTCTATAAAAGAAGCTTAATTCTTTCTTGTCAAAACAGTAAAGTTTGTGACACTTATACTGGGTTGTAACCAAAGATCACTTAGGATTTTAGTCCCAAATTGATGACTGACCTTCTTGCAAGGTTTTTTCCTCCCTCAGCTCTTCAGTGGAAAATGGGAGTATATACCAGGTCTTGCCTCTCTTGCAAAATCATGAAAATAAATGCAACAATATGTTCAAATATTCTAGAAGATCTCAGGAGGAGGAGGTTATAAACCACTCCCAATTGTGAACAGAGAAATACCCCAGATCACACACAAGTTATCAACAACAATCACTAAACATAAATCTTATATATTGCAGACTATTGTTAAAATTTGTTATAGATTCTCCCAGTGCCTCACCTACTCTTCTCTGTATTAATTATACTTATGTAAAAAAAAATTAAGAAAGGTATAAGCGTGCTCATATTAAGGGCAGGTTTCATGTTGATTTTTTTTTATTTTTTGGAGTCAAGGTCTCACTCTGTCACCCAAACTGGAGTGCAGTGGCACAGTCATGGCTCACCGCAGCCTTGATCTCCTGGACTCAAGCGATCCTTCTGATTCAGCCTTATGAGTAGCTGGGACTAAAGGCACATGCCACCACGCCTGGCTAATTTTTGTGTTTTTTTTTTTTTTTTTTTTTGTAGAGACAAGGTATCGTTATGTTGCACAGGCTGGTCTCCAACTCCCGGGTTCAAGTGATCCTCTGGCCTCAGTCTCTCAAGGTGCTGGGATTACAGGCATGAGCTACCATGCTCAGTCACTTCAGGCACCTTATAGAAACAAGAAATGTATGAATAAATAACTGATTTACTGATAAGAAAATCAGAGATTTTCTCCTAAAGAAAATGTTTTAAAGTCACAATTTAAAGCAATTGAGATAAGCAGTATTAAAGCATCCAAAGGTTCTCAACGCTGGGGCCCTGGCAGCAGGGGAGAAGCTAGGCAAAGCACGGTGTGTACCTCAGATAGGAGTCTGGTCCTCTCCGTAACTCCTCCGTTTCCTTGCTGGTATCGCTCCCTTGCCTGAGGGGAAAACCATTTTGTTTAATGACAAATTCTAAACAGAAGTAGATTACTTAAATATGACCTCTTTGTGTTTGTAATGTCTGCATATCATTTTATGACAAACCCCCTTCTTGTTTGTGAATACATTTGTGAAAGTGACATTTAACTGCAGCTATTTTATGTCCCTAATAGGCACCATGTATTTAACTAAAGCACTACAAAATGATGAACTACCTTAACCTTCAAATACTGACTGTGTAACTCACATGGGCATGGTTCACAATAAACACTGTCCTCGGTCATTCCTAAACCGTTTAAGAGAGTGGCTCTTGGTCAATCTAATTTGCATGCTATGCAGAGGAAATCAGTTCTAACAACAACACAAAAATCAATCAAAGTAGAGCATTGGGCTCAGCAATTAATAAGGATTAACAAACAGTATGACAGTACAATCAACCGGAATATGTTCTCGGAAACGAATCTAACAACCAATTATTTAATATTAATGATAGATACATGGTGACTTTAATCAGAAAATTTTAAAGTAAAATATTCATAAATAAATGTGTATATGAAGGAATAATAAATTAAATAATATATTAAAAAGCAAAGATTACTTTCTATTTGGTCTTTCAGAACTTCTGAACATAGGAATCTCAAATTTATTTCCACTTTTTCTCTTTCTTCTAACCTTGTCTGCCAAAAGAAGAAAAAAGCATGCCTTCAACTGACGTTTCCAAGTGTCCTTACTAGTCTTCCTTAAGCTCAGCAAGTGGGGGCATACATCCCAAAGGAAAGCCTTCAGATCCCCAATGCTGAGACAAAGAACTGGTACTTTCAAAGGCTAGTGATTTTATTTTTTGGTTAAAACTCTAAAGCATTGAGAGAAGGAAAAATATGTCTGATTTCATTAATTAAACTGCTTGTCTCTGAGTGTGTCTTGCTTTCACATTCCTTATTATACGACTGAAAGTCATTATGGCAAGGATGGTCTTTTCCTTCTGACACATGCAAATACATACTATTCTTCTTCCTCCTACTCCTATGGCAAATTAATAATAGACTTAGAAACAAAACAGAGTGGCTTGACACTCTGTTTCTGTTCCAAGCTGCGTTCTCCAACAATATATACTTTCATTCACTTAAATCAAATGAAGAAGTGCATTTCAACTCTAGGAGGTAACAATTTCCATTACATGCAAGATGTAGATAAGTTTACTTGGCTCTCTTGGCTTCCTAAAGTGGGTAGAGAATCGATGTAGTGCTTTTTATGGAAAGCATTTCATGGTTCTAAAATGAAAAGTGTTGCGTCAAGTTTGGGGTTTGGGGTCATTAATTGTAATAAATCCTTGGAAATCATCTTGCATCACCTCACTCAGCTGGGCTTGCGCGGCACGATATTCTTGAACCAAGGGCTCGAGCTGATTGTTGATGTACTTTTCTCGGCTGCCAATCTTTTCCAGAGTCCTACTGATTTCATTATGGAGTTTGTCCAAATAACCCTAGAAATTCCATGGCATTTTAGTAGATAAAAATAACTCACATATTTTTCAAAAATAGTTAAAAATGGGTTAAATCTCCCTCAATCCATTCCACAAATGATCAACCACATTTGAAAAGAATACAGTTTGAAATTTTCAATAGCACAAAATGTGATGAGAAATATTTTAGTCACACTCTGCAGAATGTTAGAATAAAAATGCACCTGGAGTGTTAGTCAATTCACTTGTAATTATACATATCTAAAATTTATGTGATTGTAATTAGCTTTATATAACGTTCACAATCAAAGTGGTAAGGGAATATCATGATTTTCCTATAGTACAATTCAAAGATGACTGGAATATTCCATTTGGAAGCAGAGTCCCAAATCTATAAGCTCTAGCCTGGGGCCCACAACTCCTCACACTGGCTTTGCTTTTTGTGGCATCCTCTACAAGTCTCTATTTCTGGCAGGACAGCAAGCCTGGGGAGCTGTCGGTTCTTGGCCTTGCTGGCCTGGCATTCTCTCATCCCTTGGGATTTAGAGAGAAAAGAATAATGAAATGTTTCTATCTGATATGCATTACATATATGTATATATTTAATATATATATACAGCTTTTATATAAGTTAGCTTTCTTTGGTTGGTTTAAGTGATATGTCTATTGACATGTAATACACAGTAAATTCAATTAGCAAGTTCCTGTGAAGGCAAAAATTGTATCTTTCTTTCTTTCATGCTCTCCCATAAAAGATATATCACAGATGAGTCTATCCGAAGTAATTCACATACCTTAGTCTCCTTTAGAGCAGATTCAATTCCACTTTTGTGCTGGTGCATTTGGTCAACATGGATTCTCCAGTCCTACAGGCATAAGAGCACACAGAAACAAAGTAAGAAATACTACATTTCCTCTACTTCTTGTGAAGTTGTCCTTTACCTTAATTGCTTTGGTGGGAGAGTCTTACATATAGTCTGCAATCAGATTATAAAGAAATAAAGAACACTTTAGGATAAAAGGTTCTAAACAAATGTAAATTATTTTATGTGTTTACAGAGTGATGTCTGACAATTTAAATATAAATTATTCCTGCACTGTTGATGGTTAATATTTATGACTACCCATCAAAATGAAAAAAATTCTAATTACGAGAACAGAAATACTTGTTTAAGCAGTAACAATTATGTTTGCCAGAAGCAAGTCTGAACTCAAATATCATATATCAAAGATTAGTTTGTCCCTTGGAATTTAAAATGGGACCCTCTTCTTCCAAGACTCTTGAGCCTCTGTCTTAATAAAGTCTATAATTATTACTGGAGTTCATAAATTTATATATTTTGAAATATTCTCTACTTCTACTAAATTGATCTACATTCACATGCATATTTGAAATCTATACCAGCATTTTAACTTCCTACAAGATGTATTCAAAATATTTCAATTACATTAATACAAAGTAATAATTTTAAAAGGCTTTAGAAATATCCGTCATGAGAAAAATATGATAAGTTGAAGTGATAGAACTAGATATTTCTTAATTGCATGTACCTTTGTATAGCCTGACTCTCTACTTTGCTACCTACACTATTTTATGAGTAGAAAAATATTTTGTAATAGTCTCATTCTACCTATTTCTTAACTTTGAAGTGGGCTGGTGACTACAGGGTAAAAACTCCCTGGGAACTTCAAACATACTAATTATAAAGTTATAATATATTAAAGCTGCAAAGAACCTCAAAATGCATCTAGTCTCGTGCTTGTCAATTTCACAGATAAGCAGTGACAGAAAGGGGCACACCCGAGGCCCCACAGGTGGTAGTGTACCTGGATCAGAAACCGAACTGACTCATTCCCACACAACATGTTGGCAGTTGGGAGTTACGAGGAGGGGCAGCCGGCTGCCTGACACTACTGAGGGTGCTAGTGCAGAGAATGAATCAGCACTTTCCTTGAGCTTTGGGCATTGCTCTATCTCATGAGCAAAAAGTATCTCAAAATGAACAGGAGAGTTGGAAAGAAGCTTAGAGATAATCTACTCATACATTTAATGATCATCTACTGCAATGTTTTCATTTTACAGTTGAGGGAACTGTTCATGGCCCATGACGATGACTAGGCAGATTCGCAAAGGAACAGGACCCTCCTACTCAGCTAGCCAACACTGGAACAGGGAAGGGGACAACTGTCTGGCCTGCTGCAACTGGACCATATATGCTTAAGCCTCAAAATGGAAAACTATTTAAGATCAAGTATCTTTATGAAAAAATGAAATGACAAGTATCGTTAAATCATTAATTTTTTGAAAAAGTACTCATCCTGCCTGATTTCAAAAAAAATTTCAAAGGGTTTAACAGACACCAAGCTTGAGTATTTACATGTCTTCCCTCTCTTCCTGTCAGTCTCTATTTCTGTCTTTATCTCTGTTTCTCTCCACATATATGTATGTAGAAACACACACACACACATACATATATACACACACATATATAGCTTCTGATTTATTGTAATGGATGCGTTTAAATAGTTTGTGTTCTGCTTCTTCAATTCAGCATTATTTATCAATATTTTTTGCACATATTGATATTCAAAACATTTTGAGAGAAGCAACCATGCCCGACTCATCTGTGAATAACTATGATAACTTACATTGATGTAAAACTCCATAGAGGAGCTGATATTTCTGTGGAAGCTTGAAGCAAGAGTAGCATTTCAACAGGCAGAAAAGGAAGGGGACAAGAAGGGCATTCTAGGCTCAGGGAGTAGCACAAACAAGGAAAATGCATAGAGAACAAGTGGACTAGAATAGAAAATAGCATAGAAAAGTTCCTGGGGTGCGGGGGAATAGATCATAAGGAAAGAAAGCTGGAGAGTTAGGTTATTTTAGATCACGAGTTTTGCCTGTAGCAACTAGGTAGTGTGGATTTTATCATGTGGATAATGAGGAGCTATCAGATAATTTTTGTGGCAGTTTTAAGGGTAAGTCTTCATTTTAAGAAAGTAACAGAGTGAAGGACTGATTAGAAAGGCAAGACTGAAGATGGGAGCCCAGTTAGGAGGCTGTGTAACAGTCCACATCACATAGATCAGTAGAGTCTGAATTAGAGCAGTGTTTGTGAGAATGGAAGAGAAGGGAAGGATTCAGGGGACAAAGTAAAGGCATTACTAGCAGACAGTGAAGATGGAGGGGAAGCGTAAGCTGGGGCGACTGAATGGAGGTGCAGAGTAGAGAGAAGATTCTTTAAGGCGCCTAGCCTGAAGAACTGAGGGGATAGCAATACCGCAGTGTGACAAAAACAGAGTAAATCTCAAGGAAATCAGAAATACTGAGGAATTGTGTTTTGGACTTGTTAAATTTGATAAGCTGCTATAATATTTGTGTATTCTTATAGCCCATTAAGGTGGAAAGCTATTAATACTTTATAATTATCTGCCAGACAAATCTGAATATTTGTTTTTTTAAAATTTTCCAGATGGCTATTTTTCCTGACATACAGTTATTAAAAAAAAAAAGAAGCCTTGAAATTGTTCTTACCCTTTAACCCAGCAATTTCTAGAAATTATTCCCAAAAAGCTAACTGGGAAGACACAAAAAGATTAACGTACAAGTTCTTCATAAAAGTAAAACAGCAGAAAACTCTCTAAATATCTAATAGTAGAGGACAGTTTAAACTAGTTTTGTAATATTCATTCCACTACTAAAAATATTGCAGTAAGCCACTGTTGTTATAAAGCTCAAAAGGAAGCAAAATTCAATGATACACTGTTTGGAGATACAAACACATGTGGAAAAAAAACCCCAAACAAAAAAGTAACACACTAATAATGCGAGCACACAAACTTGAGGACAGTGGTTACCACAGGTAGGAAAGGCAGCAGTAGAGGAGCACACAGGTGACATCAAGGTTGTTGCAATGGACTAGCTCTCAAGCTGGGAGTGGGTTTGTTCTATTATTGGGCTTCATAATTACAGATGCTCCTTGATTTATGATGAGGCTCCATCCTGACACACCCATCGTAAGCTGAAAATATCTAAGTTAAAAATGCATTAATTACCCTAACCTACTGAACATCACAGCTTAGCCTAGCCTACCTTAAACGTGCTCACAACACTTAGATTAGCCCACAGTTGGGCAAAATCATCTAACACAAAGCCTACTTTATAATAAGATACTGAATACCTCATGTAATTTATTGACTGTTGTACTGAAAGTGAAAAACAGAATGGCTGTATGGTGCTCAAAGTACAGCTTCTGCTGAATACGTATCACTTTTCCACCATTGTAAAGCTAAAAAATCATAAATCAAACCACAATAAGTCGGGGACCACTTGTAGAAATGTACTGCACATAATAGATTAATATTAAACATTAAAATGTTAAATTCATGTTCTCAAAAAATAATGCTCAGCAAAAATTCATATTAACAACATATAGTAAAGTAGACAATATAGTCATCGTCATGTTTTCAATTTAGTGAAAATTAGTATTTGTGTATATTGGAATGTGTGTCCCTGTGTGTGTTAAGACAGGGATTTGAATATGAGTGCTTTTAAATTCTAAATACTTCCAAAATGTTTAATATTTCCTATGAGGGAACATTATCACTTTATCAGAAAAAACCTAGCTGCTCAAGAAGTTCTTGAAAAGGGTTTAATATCATTATAGTGGACAATAAATATATTTATAATGATAATTGTGGCATTTTGAAAACAGGAATATAAAAAGGCAAACTACATGACTTTTGAAAAACTACAAATGAGACAGTTAAAAGCTTTATAAAGATTTGTGTTAAGGATGGAGAAGAAGAGGATGGGTTTTAATGACATGCAAGGACTTGAAATATACCTGGATTCCTGAAATAAGAAACATTAAAAGGAACTGCTCGATGGTGATAGCAACTCTTACATTAGTAGAGAATCCATTGTTACAATGCACTTTTATATGGCTTTCCGTATTTGAGACACAACAGTTTGGAGAGATGAGTAGATACTGTCATCCCTTCTTATTCACATGTCCCTTCCCTGTATGAGGGTTTTGAGATTTGCCAGCTCCATTGATGCAGGACTTAGCTATGGATTCTCTTTAGCAGGGGGAGGCAGGGACATGGTCTATGCCAGCACTGTGCAGAAGCCATCAGAAGCATCCAGTGACCAGCTCTCTTGACCTTCCTTTTAGCCATGATACCGAGCATGCCCCACCCAGGGGCTGCCCTTTCAGCCCTGGCCTGAGAGTAAGAAACAGAACCCAGCTGGAGTGGAGCTGCAGCTGAGTCACACATCAGCGGACAGGGATCTTGAGTGAGAATAAACATGCTACTGTTATTGCAAACCACTGTGTTTTGGGGTTGTTTTGTTAAGCAGAAAAATTAACGACAGTATTTTACAGTGAGAAAAACTAAGAATCAGATAGGTAAATGACTTTTCCAAACCTCATGTTTGGAATATGGAAAGCAATTTCAAATCAGTGCATTTCCACATGTTCTATGATGCTTTTTTGTGTGTAAAATGGACTGCCAAATGGTTTATAAGGTAAACCAATTTTTTTTGTTATTTATCAAGTGAGACCACATGGACCTACTGGGGTCTACAGTCGCCTATTCCAAAGCACCCTAAGATGTGTTCAGTAGGTATCATTTCTTCTCTCTGTTGAAGAGGTGTGTTTTACCTAATCTTGCATATTTCTTCTCCCAATGAAATTGAGAAGATTATTAATAATACTGTACATCATTTCTGTAGGCTTCCTATTTTCCAAACTCCTGTCATACAAAATCTCATCACTTATGAGGTAAATAGCAAAAGTACTATAACTATAGGTCTCCTCTGCTCTCCAATTCTCTAGCACCAAATGATATTATATAGTTCCTT